AGTTTAATTACCCGGAGGCTTCTGATCAATTAGCCGGACTGGGAGTGGTTACAGCCCCTACCAAATCTTCTTAGGAATCTCCGCAGCAATAACCAACTACTAGACAAAAGACAGCCAAGCAAAAGAAGAAGGAACCCCAACACCAAGAGGTTCAAAACCGGAAGTAGTCTCATTTCAATAGTCCGATTGGAAGAGATAAACCAGGAAGTTCGAAGGCACCATACTACTTCGATGTTATGACCCAACTAGCTAACATCCCAGCGGGGATAACTCTATACGAGTTATTGTGTTTTTCCAAAGACACCAGGGAGGATTTGCAAGAAGCTTTGGCTGATTCTGATGTATTTCTTGCTCAGATTAAGCTAGCCCCCGAAGAGCTGGAGTCGTCAATTTAGCACTACAACCTCGCAGCAAAGCAGTTCCCTTGCATCACCTTCACCAAAGATGACATGTAAACAAGGAACTCAAAGCATGACAGGCCTTTGTATTTCATTGGATACATCGGCTCCAGTGTTGTCAACCGGATCCAAGTCGATCTGGGTTTCACGATCAGCATCATAGCACTCCGATTAATGTATAATCTTGGAATCCCTGCTAGCAAGCTGGCTTCCATAGGCACTGTTATCTATAGATTCAACACCAGTGGGTCTAGATCATTAGGTAAAATCCGGGTAAAGAGCCAACTTGGAGATTTGAGGTCTGAAGTCACGTGCTATGTGATCGATGCAGAGACCTCCTACAATTTACTATTGGGTCAACCTTTGATCCATGGTAACGTTATAGTACCCTCCACCCTCTATCAGTATCTAAAATATGTGGACACAATAATAAGGTCAATACGGTGGTCACGGATAAGTAACCGTTTAAGGGGCTAAAAAACTATTTTTACTAACTCCCTTCTTTACGGTGCTAAATTCGATACTGAACCATCGGCCCAAGGCATGGACAATGAAGAAAAAGTTAATACCGAGGTTGGGCTTGATTACAATGAAGGTTTTGTACTAAATGATATAGTCCCATTTGTAATCAATCTTGATGGTGGTGAATCATCATATAGAAGCTGTAATTGGCAACTTGCCAAAGAAGCAATAAATGACGGTTTAGAGTATTCGTCTTGTCTTGATAATATAATGCAAGGGTTGTATAATAACCCTGATATACACATACCGCTTCGATCATCTTGTATGATGAAGAACTATGTCCAGTACTCATTTGGAGCAACCCTCGTCCTTCCTACAAATGTAGGGTTAAAAGGAGGTAATCTTTGGTAAAAGGGAAATATCTTCACCATCAGATCCCTTCCCAAAAAAAGATAGTGACGATTAAAGGCTCGGTCCTCATTTATTCAGATATAGCCCACAAGCACGTAACTTCATCAAGAAATAGGCATTCAACTTCGCACTCGAAGAATATCTTTGCTCTGGTCGAGGTCCTCGAGTTCCACCTCGTCCGACCTATGTACCAAAAGGAAAGTCTGACAATTACTATAGTTATAGAAGGGGCCTGGACTATGTCTCTTTATCTGATGACAATGGTTGTTGGTAAGTCATCGACCAATTGGCCAACCCGAATAGAGGCGAATACTCGTCATATTCCTCAGGTTGGGACTCTGACGTCAGCCTTGGAGAAATTTTCAAAGGCCTAATGTCAAATTTGGCCATGGTTGATCCAGCCATAATAGAGGAGGACGATTAATTGCCAACTTAGGAATATCCTTGGAATATGGTGATAGATTCAAACAAAAAGAACCTCCCACCAAAGATAAAGTGGTCAAGGTAAACATGGGCGACGAAGCGAACCCGAACCCCATATTCGTCAGCGACAACCTCCCACAAGAAGAGAAGAAAGAGTTGATTACTCTCATTAGGGAATATATCGATGTTTTTGCCTGGAATTACGAAGATATGCCAGAACTTGAGCCAAATATGGCGATGCACCGCCTTAACATCATATCGGATGTTAAACTTGTCAAGCAACAGTAAAGATGGTTTCGTTCATAAATTATTAAGGCAATCGAGACTGAAGTCAAAAAGCTAATCGATTCAGTCTTCATCAGGGAAGGACAACATCCTTACTAGCTAGCGAATATAATCTCAGTCCTTAAAAAGATTGGGAAAATTAGGATTTGCATCGACTTCAGAGATTTGAACACCGCTTGCCCAAATAATGATTTCCCTCTTTCTATCATGGATGTTATCATCGATAACACACGCGGATTCGAGAAAATATCCTTCATGGATGGATTCTCTGGTTACAATCAAATTAAGACGTACTCGAACAATGAAAATCATACCGCATTCATAACATCGCTCGACATCTTCTGCTACATAGGTATGCCCTTCGGCTTGAAGAACATGGGCGCTACATACCAACGAGCAATAATAAAGATTTTCCAGTAACACCTACGGAAGACCATCGAGTGCTATGTTGATGACTTGGTCGTGAAAAGCCATAACAAAGATGACCACATTAAATACTTGAGGACGATGTTCGATCTTAAGCAGATTCACCAATTGAAGATGAACCCTTCCAAGTCCTTCTTGGGAATGTCTAGCGGTAAATTCCTCAGATTCATCGTCACCATGAAGGGTATCCATATTGATCTTGAAAAGTGAAGGCGATTAACGAATTGCAACCCCTGAGTAATCTCAAAGAACTTAGGGGATTGCCAGGACGATTGGCTTATATCCGTCGGTTCATCTCGAACCTCTCCGGAAAATGCAAACCATTCTCGAAGCTCACGAAGAAGGGCATGTCATTTATTTGGGATGATGCTTGTCAGAAGGCATTCGAGGATATCAAAGCATATCTGGCAAATCCTCTTGTCCTTATTGCACCAAAGTCAGGGAAACCATTCTTGATTTATGTTAAAGCAACAAACCACTTATTGTTAGCGGGGAAAATGGTTTTCTTCTTCATTGAAATAATTGTCATCTTGGGTTACAAAAGATCCGGTCTTTTTTAGATCCGGTTATAATTAAATCAAAGAAAAAAAGAAAAATTACAACTTTCCTTATTTGTCGAACGAATCGCGAGATCCTGTTTTGCGGTCTCTCGCTTTTGTGGGTTCTTTGCCGACGCCGGGGTTAATCCGTGGACCACCGCGCGATCTAGATCCGGTCGGATCTACACGATTATACGGGTATTATTCCACGAAGGGAATAATAGCCAGGAGGGATTAGTCCACCAAGGGAATAATCGCTCAGATCTCGGGATCTAAGACCAAGCTTAGATCCGGAGTGTGATATCGTGTAGATCTCAGATCTGTTCTTTGCCTCCTCTCGAAATCCTGCCTTTTCTGACGTAGGTGCTCACCGAGGATCAGATCTGTACGTGCAAGTCTTCAGGTCTTCAAAGCTCTGAGTTCACTCTTCAATCCGGCAGAGTTTTGGCTCTTGAAATTCCGACCTCTGAAAATGAACATCCCCTCTCCTATTTATAGCCAAGCGTCACTGTGCCCGTGTGCACGTGTGGCCAGCACATGGATGGCCGGCCACCTCAAGGTGGCTCGGCTCATGCCGAGCCACCAAGAGGTGGCTCGGCCGGCCACCTTGGTGGCTCGGCCACCGAGCCACCTCTTGGTGGCTCGGTGGTGGCCGAGCCACCTTGGTGGCCGCCGAGCCACCAAGGAGGTGATATTTTCCATATAATTCTTGTGTAACTCTTTGTTAATTATATGCCTTCTCGACTCTATAGAGATGTTTCTCAAAAAGATGAAGGTGGTAATGAGAATAACAGAGAAACGCCATCTATCAAACGGGCTGTCGGAAAGAGGGAGAGGAAGGATGGACCCTCTGTTACTTCACCTTATATGCCTCTAGATCAACCAAAGGAAGGCACAAAGAAGAGACGTGTCATCCAGATATTGGATAGTCCTGATGGGAAAAAAAAGTACAAAAATGAAGAAGGCTTCATACCTACATCTAGAGACTATCCAGGTAAGGCACTGGCGTTTGATTATGAGAACAAATTAATTGAAGACTTTCTACAATCGAGAATGAACAGGTAACTGTTACTGACTTATTCTAATAATAATCTTTGAATTTACTTAATTCTAGTAGCAATTTTCTCACAATGTACTTGCATATAGTGATACGTACATTTGGAAGTGTGCCGAAGCAAGCGTATCTCGCTTAGATGCTTATATACTATTAACGGGAGGTGAACTCAGTGACGATGTAGGTTCTAAACAATTGTGTTATTGATTGTTTGATGTTGTATATAAAATAATTTATATTAACTATTTTATTCATTCATGGTAATTTTTGTAGGTGATCGATGCATTTGTTATTCGGCTTTGTAACAAGATTGAAACAACTGATAGTTATGATCGAAAGATACATGTCACAAGACCTTGGCTTGCAGTAAGTATATCCTTGTTTTTTTCACTAATTGGTGGATATTATTATTATGTTATCCCACAATGTTGACATTATTGCATCTTTTAGCAAGCATTTCTAGAAGGAAATCTTGAAATGGTGGCAAAACGAATGAAGGAAAATGTTTCTCAGCAGAAGTTCTTGGAGTGTGAAAGAATTCTGATCCCGATTGTCAGCTCCGGACATTGGCACCTGGTAGAGTTAGTGAGAGAGGAGACAAAATTCTATCACTACTCCTCAATCAACTCCCCCATTTATACCGCCGATGCTGTGAAATTTATAAATAAGTTTATGAGTTTCATTGAGAGTAATTGGGGATTGGGGAAATTGGAGCATCATGGTCTTGTGTCAGTTGCCGTGCCACAACAAGGACCGTAAGTGTTTCATGCATTTCTAATTTAATTGTTCATTTTTTTGTTTCACAGTCATTTTCAATATTGTAATATTTTTCCCTTAAATGCAGAACGTTAGATTGCGGGATCTTTATGATGGAATTCATTAACAGCATTGTCGAAAAATGGTCGATAACAATTTCAAAAGGAGATTGTGCAAAATATAGAGCAAGGTTTTGTGCTGCTCTTTTGTATGCACGCGATTCACCTTTTTTGTAAATATTATTTTAATTTTCTCCAAGGTTTTTGTTGTGTATTCAATGTTGTAAGTATGTTCATGTTGTTAATATGTTGTTAATTGTTTTGCGTGTACATTTACAGACAACTACGTTGTTGTTGTGTGTTGTAAGTATTTTCATGTTAAATGAGAAGTAAGCTAGGGCTAACATAGCCACCAGAGCAAAAACTTGTGATAGAAATAACGCCAGCCAGCAGTAGAACTAACTCGAGAAGGGATAGAACTAACAGGAGGTCAGCTAGAACTAACAAGCGTGAGGTAGGGCTAACATGGCCACCAAAACGAACACTTGTGCTAGAAATAACGCCAGCCCGCAGTAGAACTAACTCGAGAAGGGATAGAACTAACAGGAGGGCAGCTAGAACTAACAAGCGTGAGGGTAGGGCTAACATGGCCACCAGAGCAAACACTTTTGCTAGAAATAACTCCAGCCCGCAGTAGAACTAACTCGAGAAGGGATAGAACTAATAGGAGGGCAGCTAGAACTAACAAGCAGTTAGGTAGGGCTAACATGGCCAACAGAACACACACTTGTGCTATCTAGAAATAACGCCAGCCCGTAGTAGAACTAGTATGAGAAGGGATAGTACTAATAGGAGATCAGCTAGAACTATCACATTTAATCTAGAACTAACATAGTCATTAGAACACAACTAGAACTAACATAGGCATTAGAACCCACATTTAAACTAGACCTTACGTTAGCTAACACGAGAATGGCAAGAACGAACACGGAAACGGCTAGAACGAACATTAACCTAGGTAGAACTAACATATTCAATAGATCCAACACTTAAACTAACATTATTCACTTGCACTTGGCTGTGAAGGTTACCGAGATATTATAGGTTTGCTTCTTGTTTGGCGACTCTACCAGAGATCCCGATGCAGCATTTATTGAAGCTGAGCAGTGGCTTTACCAAACTGGCAATCGTTTCATGTATTTGCCGAAGATTCCTCGGCACCGTTCCTTGACTGAGCTCAGACGCTAGGCTGTGAAACGGGAGATGTCGTGGCGTTTGACAGAGGAGCATGAGATCGTCCACTGCGGCTATGTTACTCATCAGGCAGTTCCTGGTTCGAGCAGGGATCACATTGTTGGACTGCGTCCTGGAGTACTGGGGCTAGATACTCCGCCTCGTAACGAGTTCGAGATCACATTGTTGGACTACATCCTGGAGTACTGGGGCTAGATACTCCGCCTCGCAATGAGTTCCTCACCACTGCTTCTACTTTGAGGAATCGCCTCGCTATCTTAGGACGGGAGATGCCTGCACCGCGCCACAGATTCTATGGTTGGGTCCATTCTTTGGACAGGTTTTGGTGGGCTCGTATGACGAAGTATGTCTTGAGCCGATGGAGCGAGGAGTTACATGCTTGCGGTCTTTATGCAGCCATTCGGGCCACTATGCATGGCTTGCCTACAAGCGCGAAGCATTTCTTTGCCCTATGCGAGCTTTATAATCCAGATTCCAACACTTTTCTGACCAGGCACGGAGAGTTGGGCTTGGCTCTACATGAGATGCACAAGATTTCTGGTTTGCCCATGGGACAGATGTTATACCAGGAGTACTTTCCCTCCAACCATGAGTTGAGTCAGCTTAAGGATCGCATGCCCGACCGCTACGAGACCTTATGGGACCTCACTTGTCATTATCACATTGCTTTGGCGCAGTCTAAGCCCCTAGCGAAGAGGACCAAAGCAAATGTGAGCCTGAAGCAGTTCGCATCATATTTGTTCAGGAATCTTCCCGTCAAAAGTGGGGAAACAGTTTAGACTCATATACCTATTGGAGTATCAGGGAGTAGTTTAACCTCTTATACCGGTCGGAGGATTGAGAAACAGTTTATACTCGTATACTCTTTGGAGTTTTGCCGTTCTCAATTGGCTTACCTTAGCGTTATGACGCCGGCTTCAACCAAGGTCTGAATGCTATTCTTGAGAGCAAAGCAATCCTTGGTGGGATGAACGACCCTCCTGTGGTATGCACAGTACTTTGGGTCCGTAGTGTTGTCAGCTTCCTCCTGATTTGTGATAGGTGGTAGCTTGATCTTGTTACCTTCAAGGAGGGATTCGAAGATGGCTGGAACGTCTTCGTCCTTGAAGGAATACTCTCTTTGGAGTCTCGGACCCGAAGTCTTTTGCTGCCTTCGGGATTGCTGTTGTGACGCTTGATTAGCACCACCAGTAGCTGCAGGTGTTTTGCCCTTACCACGAGAGGCGAAATTTGAGTCCAGCGGATTAACCGTCGGTTGGTTCCTCTCGGCCTTCTTCCTTCGGAGGAAACGTTCGGCTTGTTCACCGCGCACCTTCAAGTATTTCTAAGTGTCAGACGGTGCTGTTCCCATTGCTTCCAACACGTCCAACGCAAGGTTGTTGTGGCAAGTTTGGAGGATGAATTCCTCTGTGATCGGGTCCCGGCAATTCATCGCCTTGTTCCGGAATCTTTTGACGAAGGTATCGACTAACTCTCCGTCCTTCTGCTTCTCATCGAGCAACGATCCGATAGATATCTCGGTGTCGTCGTCGAAGAAGTTGGCCAGGAACTTGGTCTCCATGTCATCCCAGCTGTTTACGCTGCCTGGCTTGAGGCGGCGATACCAATCGAAGGCGGCTCCGCGAAGAGTGCCGACGAATGACCGCACCATCAGAGGCTCATTACCAGAGATCACCCCCAAGTGCGATTTGAAGTAAATCAAATGCTGGGTAGGTGAACCCATCCCATTAAACGGCGTGAAGTTAATTAGATTAAACTTCGCCGGATATGGGATCGATTCCCATTCTCTTGGGTATGGGCAAGGAATGCCTGTTTTCTTCGTCTCTTGAGCGGAGATCAATGTGTTGATTTTGCTCTCGAGGTTCTTGATCTTCAGACTTTCGCCTGTGTCTTCATTGGCATTCTCGTTACCACACCCTGCATTGACAGGATGATTCTTCGCCAGCATTCTCATTACCACCCCCTGCGTTGACGGGAGGATCATTGGTGTTACGAGCATTTGTATCCTCATCTTCCACATTAATCGGGTTACGATGATTCTGCTCGCCTTGTTGGTTCGCCAATGCTTGGATCTGTTGGTCATGCATTTCTCTCATCTGCTGCATGGCCATCTCCATCTCAAACTTAAAACTTTCTTTTTGCTTAGCCAAAGCGTCTTCAAGCATCTTGGCCATCTGTTCCGCACTTATCATCAGGGCCTCGCGGGGTTGTCCCTCGTTGGATACTGTGTTATCTGATGCCACCGCGGAGCCGGCATCAGATTCTTCATCTTCTGAAGGGCGTCTTGTCCGAATCCTACCATAAGTTGCTCGCTCTATGGTTCCGGACTGCAGACGGGTTCTAGGTCGGGAAGCTTTCAGAATCGACTCAAAATCATCTCGTGCCGATGTCCCTTTGCTCGTCATGTTGGTGGTGACCCTCGGAAATTCTCCGTCTTCAATCACCCTTCTTCTTCGTTGGAAGCGCCTAGGCCTTGGTTTTGGCGTGTCCGCACTGAGTCTTTTAAAAACTAAAACTCTTTCGGGGACTGCCTTAATGCAATTGCATTCAGACAATACCGCCCGAATGAGTTTGGAACAGGGACATTGAATTTCCTGTTCTCGGGGACTCCTCTTCCTGGTTCTATTCGTACCCCCAGCACGATAGTACAACTCGTCATTTTGACAGTCAGAGTAACCTATCGTGTGCGGGCACGACTTCTCAGGTATAACACTATCACTATCAGATGATAATGTTTCCATCTGAGGGTGACTTGCCTTCTTTGAGCTTTCAAAGGTTACCCGTCTCAAAACATGCCTGTTTGGGCGTGAATTTTCGGCGTGCTCTTGGACTTCAATGCGCAAATTGGTGCGCGCAGCTGCCTTGAGCTCTTTGTCATGCTGGAGGTGATGGCGACCCCCAGTATGTTGAGTCGTTCTGGGCTTCTTCATCGGGCCCAAACGCTCGTGAATTGGAGCTTTGCCTCTCACGTCAGGAACTGGACCGAGGCGCTCCAAAATTGATTTCTTCTTGCGGGATGACTCTGCATGATCTCCCGGAGAAGTTATTGGGATTAACGGCGACTTTGGTTGACTCGCCGGAGTTTGACCTTCCTTAGAAGGCTGCACTGGTTGCTTTTTGGCCTGAGTCGCCACTTCAGACTTAGGCTTCCAGACTTGGCGTGTTGGTGGTGGCTTCTTCGTCACCTCCTTTTGCAGTCTTCTACGGGCTTCCTGAGCTTGAGCCCGTGCCTGCGCTGACATCGCGCGGCGCTTGCGAATACGCTCCTCGAGCGTCGAACGGTTCCGTTTGACGCGGACCCATTCTTTCTTTGGCGGCTTGGAAGAGTCGCCATTCATTGGTGGTTGAGGCTGTTTGCCTCTTCTGTTCTTCAACTCCGCGTGGTAGCGGAATCCGTCCGTAGACTCCATCGCCTTAGCGAGTTGCCGCGCAAGGCGTTGACGACGCCTCTGGCGGGCTCTCTTTGAGAGAGTCACAACGCCCTGAACAGTGGAGGCGTTGGCGGGAGCTGGGTTGACCTGGTTGGAGGTCGGTGGAACTTCATCTGATGCAACTTTGGCGTCAGCTGGGTTGAGAGCTTCGTTGGCTTCCCGAGCAGCTTCAAACCAACGAGCTTTTCTCCCGGAGGAGAACTTCTTGGACTTGCGGGGGGAGGTAGATCCGGACGAGGACACGTACTCCTCGAACTTGGCTTGGTCGAACTCGTACTCGACCTCCTCCACGACCGGGATTGCAATCCGCGGCTGCGACGCATCGATCTCGTTGGCGAGATCGTCGGCTCCCACTGTGGTCGCCAGATTGTTCGCGTGGAAAACTGTTTTCTTTTTCATTGATATGATTGTCATCTTGGGTTACAAAGATCCGGTCTTTTATAGATCCGGTTACAACTAAATCAAAGAAAATAAAGAAAAAATTACAACTTTCCTTCTGTGAACAAATCACGAGCTCCTGTTTT